AATGTTTTAAAATCACGAAAGTGTAGAGAAAATTTAAAAATATGCAAAGGAAATGCCTTAAGTGAGTGAAGATATTGTCCAACCTAAGTCGGTCTCTGGTTCTGCCTCCATTATTTCTTTTATCTCCTTTTAGTTTCAGTAGATAAAATCCTTCATTTATGATTGTATGTCTTCCTGGATATGACTGAGAAAGAAGAGATTTTATGTTTGACATTATGGACAATTTCAATGATAGAAGGAGTAGGCGGTGGTCAGTAAGCATCATGCCTGACTATTATGTTCATAAAATTGTCAAATGTTTGTAAACCAACAGTTAAACTGATTCGTGGGATAGCTGCCCAGTCCTTCATCTCTGAAGTGTGTTTTCCATCATGATCTCCGCTATGGAAGGCCGAGGGAAAGGTACGTGCCCCACTCATGAGTTCTTGGTTTCTTTAACACTCCTGTGCCGGTTAATGTAAACGTTTAGGTAAAAGCAAGAGGCTTATGCTTTATGGTTCTAGGAGAACTATCTAACTGTTGTTCTGCAAAGCTATTGCACAGGAGACAGTAGTGTTTCCAGATGCTGTAGTGCTGCAGTCTTCCTCCTCCTGGACGTCTGATAATCGCTGGGGATTTTCACCCTGACTTCCTGAAGGCTCAAGTGATGTGGAGAGGGTGTGACAGGCCACAGGCAGAGGACTGGGCTGGCTAAGCATTCTTCAGTGCACAGTGCACACCCCAGGAGAAGGGATTACGTAGCTCTGAAAGGCAGAAATACAGACTTAGAGAAGCTCTTCCCTAGAATACGATCATAAATGTCAATGGGTCCAATTTGTGACAACTCCCGAAGGCTTACACTAATATTTACTGTTTTGCAGTCTAACACAGGAATTGGCAGATTTGAGTGATCCTAATGGAGCTTTCCATTGAGCAGGCAAATTCAGTGAGTGATGGCAGGTGTACATCCTATGCTGCCTTGTCAGTTTGGTTCAAGCAAAGGGGCTGGTTAAAATGAAAAAAAGAAAGGGCAATGCTAACATAAATCTTTACATTATTGATGATATTTACAAAATTATATCCTAGTAATGACCACAAAATGGTTGGATATACAAGAATGGTAGCTTTCTGTTTTACATTACCTTCGACTGTCAATATTTTCCTTATGACAAATATGCAGGACAATATCTTCAGCGTTAACATGTCTCCAGTTCATTTCCCAGAGAGCTCTCTCAATTTCTCTATCTGACAAGCACATTTTAATATCCATTTTGCTCTAGTAAGTTAGAATAACTTGCACATATTCGATGTGTGGAACAGATATATATTTGGAGAAATATGTCTCTAATATAACTATATCTAATCATTTTAATTTTATAAGAAAATATTATTTAAATACATCCTAGAATAAAAGTTTATTGATGTTTATTTTAGATATTTTTAGGTTTCTTCACATATATAATTTCTACTTTTGCATAGTTTCATTTTGGAGAGTTCCAATCACATTTATCAAAATTCGGTGGAAATCTGTCCTACCTTGATCACATTTTTATGTCAGAAATTCTTCTGGAATGTTGCAAATGATGGCACAATCTGTTTTTAAGCACAGAGCTGCCTGTGGTTCCTCTCAATTGATGGATATAAATTGTTGACAGACTGGAGATCTACGTTTTCCAGTTTACTGAAACAATGAATTCATGTAAACAACTCAGATCATGTCAAAGATTTTCATGTGAGAATTTTATACAGCAAATAAACTATATAAAATCAAGCTTTTGTAGGCCCATATTACCCACCATCCAAATGCAAACAGTTGTTCTTCACAAGAGATGGTAACAAGCGTTGGACCCATTATACCCCTTGTCCACTGATGTGGTCTCTGCTGCTAGGCACAGCCTGAGAACACACACAAGTGCACGTGTGCCGAGGTGAAGTTCAGGGACTGAAGCATTATTGGTCATCATCTCCCACGTGCTGATAACAGAATCTGGGACAAATCAAGTACCTACTTTAAGCCATGTAATTCACATGTAAAACTTGATAATTTCAAACTTCAGTCTAGTTTCCAGGATGAAGCTGAAGATCAAATTTAGAAAAAAAAAAAAAACATGAAGGTTTGGCAAAGAATGAAAGAAAAACGCTTTCATGATGCTGCTGAGTCAGCAGTTCCCAGTCCTGGCACTATCTTGAGAATAGGGTTTCCTTCATGGTACAAGGAAGAAGCAATTGTACATGAAGATAAAATCATACATAAACTGTGGTGGTTTTGGCATGTCAATTTCCAACGTCCAAAGGTCAGATAGTGTATTAACACAACTGCAGTGTCTCTGAGAATTACACTGTTACAAATCTACACAAATTACTAGGAGAAAAATGAACAGTTTCAAGAGAATTATTAAAGTATCTCTGAGCATAGTTCACCTAAGGTCCAAATATTTGTAAAATGCAGAATATTGCAAATCACTCTAGTGTTCTTTTGCATGATTGAGAGGGAAATTGTGAATCTGCAAAGTAAGTCTTAGCTGGAAGTGCTGATGTCACCAGGCAATGCAGTACACCAGAAGTTGACACAGCAGGCTGCTGGTCACTGCTGTTGCTGTCTTTCACTGACTGAGGCTATGTTGTGCTGGGTCTCGCTGGGCTCCAGCAGGTGCTGGGTTCTTTCTGTTTGTCCTCATTGGCTGCTGGTCTCTGAAATCTTTTGTGTTCAGACCTCTGAGTGTATATTTACCCTTTTTAGGAATGCAACCTCTCTGGATGTGTTACTTAGGATGAAAACCCTAAGAAATTTCCAAGACTTTTAGTGCGGACACTTCCTAAGACACAAATCATGAGCAGGTTTGCAGGAGTTACAGAGGGAGTCTTGTCACTAGGGCCTGTGCTGCATCACAGCTGGGCCTGCATGCAGGAAGGAACCTTCATAGACTCAGATCTGACAGGGGTCTACAAACTGCCCCTTATTCACGAGCTTGCACACCTCTTGCTGTTGGACTGATGACATGAACCAGGGTTCCTCTGGAAGTTTGCTGTGAATGTGGGCATGCAGAGAAGGGCCCCAGACCTCTCCTTCCTGATGGCAGCCACTACAGGTTCCGTCTCTGACGTCACAATGCAAAAGGATGGAATGGATGGAGGCTGCACCATGCTGCATATCTGCTTTCTTGTAGGGCCAGAGAAAGGCAGTTTGACAGAGGGGTGGACACTGAAGCAAACCCAGTTATTCTGCTGGGATTTAAAGGGGAGCAAGGAAGGAGGGGAGCAAGGAAATGGCTGCTGGCCCAGACATGCCATACTCTCCAGAGGTGCAAAATGAGAGTGTGACCCTTCTCATTGCCCCTAGATGCACTTCCCAAGTGTAGTGGAATGTCATTACCTCACCCACTTCTCAAACAACGTATCTCTTCAAGAAACACTTTATGTTTAAATGTACACAGCAGAAGGGGCCGGTTCTCTCCCATATCAGCTATTACACTGCCCCTTCATGCATCCTAGGCCATGAGGGGAGACAACAGCTTCCTCTGCAGGACTGATTTTGGTTAAATAGACCATCTGCCAGTGGCTTGTGTTTTGAATTAAGCAGGGTCCCTCCTCCTGCTGCTGCTCATGTTAAGCCTGCTCCAGTGCAAGGACGTGACCTCCCTTCCTGTGTGTGAAGAAAACTGCGGGGAGACCTACGGACATCTCTTTGTTCCCGTAGTCTCTAAGGCTTATGTCATGTACTTCTTCATCAAAAGGCTCCTACTTGATTTTGTAAGTAGCTCACTTTTTGTACCTTCTTACCCAGAGATTTCAAACAGCTGAGCATCACAAAACTTAAAATTTGAAGACCTAGTCTGCCAAATTTCACATAATATGTATTAACAAGTTAGAGAAGCTAATAAAACCTGGAAGAAGCAGAAAGGCAAAGTTTCATGAAATTGCAACTTGTCAAAGAAAATAAGATAGAAAACGTTTTTAAAATTTTAATAATTATGAAAGATTTCATATAACTGCCACAGATTTAAAGCCCTAAAATACACCTTCTCTTTGGCACATAGGAGGAGCAACCATTTCATGCTCTTTGCTACAGGGCCAGTCCTTCACATTCCTTACAGAATACACTGCATATAAGCAAGAAAGCTGGATGGCCTTGCATGAGTTAGGTGCATCAAATGGAAGGAAACTAAACTGATTCCATGTTAGAGGGAAGAAACCCACGTCAGGAGCTACTTGGAAGCCTCACGAAGCTGGGACACATTATCGTAGGATTTCCAGTGCAGGAGTCTATCAGCACAACAGTAGGGCAATGCTACTTATGGAAACAGATTCACTGTTTTTCAGAAAATTTCATTGAAATTTCTCTGTGACATATTGTAGGTTAGTGACATGGTAGAGAGTGGACTAGGTCTTAGTAATACAAAGTCCTCCAAGGAGAACATGTCCCAGTATATGAACTAATGTGTGTCAAACCTTTTGCTAACTCCCCCTCCTGCTTCTTTAATTTCCTTCTCTCCAGGCCTATCTTAATGTCGTTTATTAGCACATGTCTGCAGTGCATGGTGCTCATGTTTATCGTAAGGAATGGGTAACTGTTCTCAATACTTAATATTGATTCTTTTCATTAGATTTCTGACTACCCATGTCCTTCCCTCTGTCTCCAGATAATTTTCTCCATTTTCATATTTTGTTGCTATGATTTTAGCTCATTTTGCCGCATGGAATGGTTACAAACTTTGAAGGAAATTAGTGGAAATGCATGGCACATCTTATATGTTTTTATGGTTTTTTTCCTCCTCTCTCCCAGAACCGTCCCTGTCCTGACCCCTAATCCTTTACAAAGGATCTATCACCCTGTTTCTCATCAGTGTTTTACTTTGCTCTTTATTTGTACTTTAGGTAAGCAAATGTGGTATTTAAGCTTGTGTGCCTGAATTCTTTCAGGTAACATTATATTTCCAAGGTGTGTTCATTTTCCTACCAGTGTCTCAAATGTATCTTGTCTTACACCTGAGATTCATTTCATTCTGTGCAGATGCTTCATTTGCTTCATCCACTCACATAAATGCTGATAAGATTTAGCTGTGAAGAATTAATTGTGCTGCCATAAAAACTGATATGCATGCATGTCTGTGATATGTTTTTCAGCTCTTTTGGGAACATAAGTAGATAGTTCATATTTGTGAAATAAAATTTCAATAATTACATTTTGGGAAATATTCATAATGTCTTCCACAGTGGTTTCAATAATTTACATTTGCAGAAAATGAAGAGGGGTCCCTTTTCCACCACAGCTACCTTCAAGGTTCCCAGGTTTCACAGTAATCCCTTTCAACTTTCACTGCTTCTGCTTAATAGCAGTCTTGGTATTTCTTTGGAGAATTAATCTCAATTCATTATTTAAATTTTCTTAAAAGATTTCTCACTGTTTTATGACTTAGTCTGCCACAGTAAAATGTTTGTTTTGAATTTATGGTGTAACTCAGAAGACAGATGCGTAGATTAAAGTGTAATTGAAAGAAATGTTAGAATTTTTCATCTACCTAAGGAAGAGAAAAGAAATTTGGAGCCACAGGAAACAACAAACTGCATTGCTAAACAGAGGTGTATGTGCATAGTGGCATTTAGCACAGAACAGAGAATATCACCTTTTTAACCTTTAGACCCTCAGAATTTCCTCTGCTTTTAGTGTTTTCATCCCAAAAGATAACTTCTATGAAGACTCAGACAACAGCACTGTGAGAAAGAAGGCAAGTTGAAGGTTAGAAGTGTTAGCAGAAACACACTGAGATTCCAGGGGTCATGACAAAAGAGGCAAGCGTGTTACTTTTTTTTTTTTTTTTGGTTTTTCTCCGATACCGAGAACCAAACTCGCGACCTTGCCCTTGCCACGCAGAGGCTTTGCCACTGAGCTAAATCCCCAGCCCCTGCAAGCGTCTTACTTTCTAGATCTTTATTGTCAGTTCCTGTGTTTCTCTCATTGAAACAATTAGTCGTTCATGTAACTTGTTAATATTCTTGCAATGGATTTGTAATTTTAATATGTTGTATTGTATTTAATGGGTTGATCAATCTTGGGTTCGTATTTTAAAGAAATGAATTTTTCTCAATCTTCTCAGATGATGTATTATCCGAAGAGCCAAGACTACTATGGGACACTCACCCATAGTTGCCACACACATAACATCGTTGCTCCAGGTTCCGATAAACCTAACTCGACGATTCTGGTGAGTTCCTTTCACAGCTCTGCCAGAACTACTGAAGCAGTGCACAGTCCCTGCTCTCCAGCAGGCTCTGAGAGGCTCTGTAATCAAGGTTAACAGTAGTTACATCTGTGCAGAAAGCGGGACAAATGAAAGAATTACATGGTACAATTGATAAAGTAAATACAAAATCAAGTGTAGGAGCTGGGGATTTAGCTCAGTGGCAAAAGCGCCTGCCTGGCAAGCGCTAGGTCGTGAGTTCGGTTCCCGGGACCAGAGAAAAACAAAAAAAACAAAACAAAACAAAAAAAAAAACACAAAATCAAGTGTAGTTACTTTGAGCTAGATCTACAAATTGCTCAAGCTGATAAGAATACATTATCCCATCTCTTTTACCGCGGATTGATTATACTATACTGCAGGGGAGGTGGAAAAGCGTTGCACGCTCATGTACATACTCGAGGAGTGGAGATGAGCTATTCTTAGCACACGTCACTAGCGACTCTGGCACAGGCAGCCTCTCTACATTACTCAGCAATGCCCCATCTGCGGCATCTATTGTAGTTTCAAGGCTCTGCTTCTGCTTCAACTGCTGCTTCTCCAATGCTGACTCTTTCACTCTTTGAATGCTCCGTTGCCTTCCTCCATGTTTTATCTGAGTGTCCCCCTACTGAGCCTGCCCTGTACGGTACAGTGTCCTGGTTTTGAGAACTGCAACCTTGGAGTCTGTCCTGATGAGAAAAAAGGCTGTATATCAAGCCCTAAATATTTTGCACTGTCCCATTTTTTAACTTATAAATTCTCTCCTGCGGTCCCTTTATTAAAGACTCAACTTGATTTCAAAAATACATATGGAATATCAGAGGGAAATCTAACTTGACCATTTTGGTTTGCAACTCAAAGTAAATATATTTCAAGGCAGATTTGTATATTTTTGTGTTGTAGAAAAACGAGTGTCAATGGAATAAAGTATAATTTTCTTTTCTGATAAGCTCTATTATTTACAGAAATATGTTACATGAACACAAGAATGACAAAGAAATATTTTTCTTAAGCTTTTGTGAGCAAAAATAATGTGAAACTCACCTGGTGTATCTCACTTTCTGTCCCATGATTTCTCCGACTTTGGCACTTAGAACACAGATGGTCTCAGACATGTGGTTAGCTTGATGTACTCATGGAATGAGCCCCTCTTGCACCTTGCTAATGAAACACATCGCCTGCCAGGAAATAGTACCTATGTCAGAGATGAAGCCATCCGTATCGCAGGACAAAACCGAGAACTTCAAGAACTAATGAAGAACATAGCCACGCAGGTGAGCACCTGGCATGCTTCTTGGTGTTTGAGGACAGAGGTCTATTCTGTGCTGGGATATGTGTGGAAACCTTTCACTTTGCACAGATGACATCACTACATTTCAACTCCATCTTGCATCTCTCAGCCTGCTATTAAGCAAAGCAGGGGCCTTGGGGATTCACAAGGAGGATTCCAAGATCAGTTCATCTCACTATTTGTGTGGTTCATAAGTGTTGTCTTCTGGCATTGTACACAAAATTAGGAAGGATGTGAATCCTCCTGTGGTGGGTGCACAAATATTTTCCAGGAAGCAAACTCAGTGGAGAACGTGCAAAACAAATGTTTCCTTCGGTTATCCCAGGACACAGGGGTCAGGATTTTGGTCAGTACTCTCCCTTTTGTTCTTGCTCCTGTGGACAGAGTAGGAAGGGAGGTGGGAGAGAACCCAAATTAGCCTGGGTTGCACCCCCACCTCAACCACTACTCAGGGGAACCTGAGGAGGCCAGTGCACCAGCAGGGTCCACAAGCACTAGTTCGGATGATCATCCCAATAGACGAGATGTATGTCTCCTGGAACGGTCCTCATTTTCTAATTTATGCAACGGATCAGTTTTCTTCTTTTTCACATTTGTAAATGAAACTTCATTTCATTATATATAATTTTCCCAAGTAATTCCTTACACCTAAGTTGAATTAGTATTTGAATATATATCTAATTCATGTATGCCAATAGTAACATTGGAAAATAACTTAGGGATTTCTGCACTTTCCAGGAATAATGTACTATCTTAGGAATTATTATACAAAAGAAGAAATACAAAGGTTATACAAAAGAAGAAATTTTATATTTCATGTTTGCTCTGAGAACATGTTCACTGTTGCAATGTTCTCATTTTCTTGAGAAAAGACTATATTCAATAAATACAAATTGTATTATCCTCAAAATATGTGAAATACACACTTAAAAATTCTATGAAGTTTCTTCACTATTGTATACTTACTTTCTGAGTTTCAAGTTTCTGTATAATGTTACTTTTTCTATTCTTTTACCTCAAATTGATTCCTGTTCATATGACCTTTGCACATTCAATTTTGTCTTACACTTCAAGCACATAAAGTAAACAATAAAAAGCAAAGAGAAAGGCAACACACACACACACACACACACACACACACACACACACACACACACAGACTTCGCCTTCCATTACGAAGAGTTGTTCTCTGCAGCGTGAAGCTCAGCCCATCAGGTCCACAATTCTGCTGGCGGTGCACTTGGCAAATCATGACCTCCCCTGACTCATGTAGAGGTTCTATGATGG